TGATAAAGTTGTTCTGGTTCAATGAAATTCAAATCCTGAAATTGTTCAGCGAGTCACGTGAAGCAATCAGATTTTTATGACCATATATTGCATTCTTGTTCGTTCAGTTATTGCGTCATACCAAGCGTTATATTAACGTTTTCTGGTGGTTCCACTTGAATCAAAGTAAATATCAATAAAATTATGAAAATATTAATTGTATTTTAGTTGGAACGAATTTCCTCGTTTTTTTATTTTTATTTTTCGTAGCGGTTCTTCAGCTCTTTTCTTGGGCTCTTTTCCTTGAATGTTGTATTTTGAAATATATTGTGAAAATGTGTTTACTTGTTTTCGTCTCTGATGTTAATATATGCTTTGTTAACAAAAGCAATAAGTACATTCTTTTTTTACTCAAAACTCCAGTAATAATGGCTATTCGAGTTCATTTAAATATTTCGACTAGACAAACGCCCCTGTCATGGCGCCGTTACAAATCAGAAAACGATGAAAATAACTGTGGAATGGCGACAGTTTGGCATTCGAAATAAGCATCAGTTTAGATGGACAGATTTAAAGTTGACGTTTATCAAACATAAAACTGGGAATAAAATTAAATGAAAAAAAAAAAAACAACAAAAAGCCTTCCTTTTAATTCTTTTTTTTTATTAGTTAAATTATTGCACCAACAGTAAAAAAAAGATTAAATAAATAAAAATGAGTGACTAATTAATTGAAACTATATATGTATCGTTTTTTTTTTCAAATGAGAAAAACAAAGTTCGTAAGGACATATCTGGGCTTGTGATCGATTCTCTGTCATGTCGTCACGGAAAAGGAAATTATAAAGAGACAACCTGTCATTTTGCATTTCTTTATGATTGTACTTGTAACATTAACATTATCTTGCTAAAATACGTTTGTTTTAAAAGTGAAATGTTATACTAGAATTGATGCAAACCACTAAATAAATATTCATTCAGAAATGAAAGGTATTAATTATTTACTAGTGTATCCGTGCTGTCAAAATTGACGAAAATTGTTAGGTTTTAATAGTGAGATACAATGAAACAAAAGTCTAAAAGATTTAATAAAGGGAAAATAAAGAATTTATAACTAAAATAGACAAATAAACCTTTTAATTAAGCCATTCCCTTTATATTTTGTAGAAGTTCAATCGTATTTATGATTTATTTATTACTCCTTCTATTACATAAATCGCTTTTTTTTATCTTGTCATGTTAATTTATGCGTTTAATATAACAGTGAAATTGAAATATCTCTCGAAGAAAAAGATTAACAACAGAACGACAAAGACGCCGATGACAAAGCCTATTTCAAGAACAATTTGAAGCAAGACGATCACTTAACAGAATTAAGTATCAGACTACCACACATAAAGGCTTGAACAAATAAGACTGTAATGTAACAAAACGTAAGAGTAAAGGAACTGATTAATTAAATGGTTCATTTTGTTTGGGGACAAATTTTTCTAAATGCAGATACATATTTTATTTTTATAGATTATTAAAACGACTAAGGGATGTAATAACTCATACATTTACTAGCTTAAGCTGATTTACTTCCTTTCCCACTATCGATGAGACAGGAAATATATAAAAAAGTAAGCATTGATAATTATTATATCGAACAAGCATATTTCAATATAAACACAATGCACCGGTCTTATACAGTATTTTATGTGTTGATATTATCAGCAGAAGTAGGGATTATGAAGCATTAAAGTGAATTCTTCCGTGTCTCGTCTCTTCAGGACCTGCGCGATCATGTCTCTCCACAATTTTCTGTCCTTTTTAGCTCTTAGTAAATTTTGCCTTTTCGGGATCTCAATTAATCCTTGTTCTGCCAACCATTTGCGTAAGTTTTTAGGTAGGTTATCCGCTACTTTCCTCTGTCCCACTTGATTTCAATATGTCCTGTCAGTGTCAAATTTTCTAAACCCTCTTTTCTCATTATGTACAGTAGAAATTTTAAGCATCTCTTTTTGATGTTAACCATAATTACCATTTTTGTTTCCATTTTCTCTAAAATTTCGCCGTTGGTAACATGTTCAATCCATGTTATCCTCAGAATCTTCATGTAGTATCAAGTCTCTTTTTCATGTAAAGAGATTGTCCAGCAACTGTTTCTTTCTGATGTTAAGTTTAAGTGCCTATTTTGGTTTCTATTTTGTCTAGAATTTCATCTCTGTTGTCTCAAGGCTCTTCTTCATCAGTGAAAAGTTCACTGCCATTTAGTAGGATTGATATTACTTAATTGTTAAATACACGTTTTTGTTTCTAAAGAGACTTTCCTGTTTCTTAATACTTTGTTTAGTTGCAGTGAATAGTAATCTGTCTTAATGTGCTTCTAAAATACTCTTGTTTTGCGTGTGTAAATGGAAGGATACTATTTTGAATCCTAAAAATTAAGCTCGTACGCCCAGAGAATATAGTATGGATTCATTGATTGTTTTTTACGGATTATAAACATTTTGCAGGTTATTTAAAGCCAGAAAATATTTTTAGACTGTAATATTTTTTTGAGTTAATAATGATTTACTGATACAACTCCTACTAATTAACCCATACCTGGAGAGGAGGTGGATTTATATCTTTCCCAAAGGTATTTGCACGTGAGTGAATATAACGAATCCGACTGGAATTGGAACTCGCCTCATCAATTTCCAATTTCGAGTCGTTATCCATGACAGCACCCACACATCCAAGCTTACAGCTCTTTATATTTCCAAACGGTTATCGCACGACAACCGCTAATTCAAAGTAATATGGCCGTAAGTCTATTGCGTGTAGAATGTGATTGTTTTTTAAAATAAATTTAAATCCGTCCTCTTTTAGCCACTCTTATTATCTTCCGAAACGATTTTACAACATTGATCTTAATATAATTAGTTCATTAATAATTTAACATACACACACACACATATATATATATATATATATATATATATATATATATATATATATATATATATATTTCATCGACTGACTGAATCTATGTAAGCAATGATCAAGTGCACGGAAGCTGTTTTTTATTTAACAGCTGAATAAGAAAATTAAACATGGAAAAATGTTTAGAAAGTAAAATATGAATATCTATCTCTATTTCTGATATGAGGTATTTTATCTATTTACATAATTCATATTGTTTGGACTGTTTTCCTCATCTTTGTTGTCATATTCAAGACGCTCCGGCCATCTTCAGTTGATTGGAGTTTGAAAAATTCGTTGGTTTAAGTAATCCAGTGACTTGACCCAAATAGTTGTGAGGTCAACACTTGTCGCAGCAGAGGTGAAACAAAAACTTAGAGAATTGAGTTGCTAAAAGGAAGATAACTGAAACTGAGATATTCGGAAGAGACATGGCACGTGAAACTAGAATAATCTACCCCCCCCAGACTCGGTGGACAAAATAAATGGTTCGGTTCGAAATTCCAATCACCTGAAGAAAGCTAGAACGTACAACTGTTGGAACCTCGTAAATATGACGAAAAAGATCGGACAACAGTCCAAACAATTTAAAATAGTGTAAATAGTAAAATGTGAAGGAAAAAAGCGACTTTCTTGTGCGTAGTCAAATTCAAAACTGCATACTCGATTGCTTTTCATCCAAATATGACACTGAAAACAGCGCACAATCTCTGAATTGACATGATACATTCAGAAAGATATAGGTGTAGTACCCCTTTGACTGCAACGTAAGATTGAGGAGAAAAGCTTGATTCTCACTTTTCCCAAGGGAAACAATCCGAATGTGAATACCACAGAGACGGATTTAATTTGAACTCGGATTGCCGATTCCATTTTCCGCGACGATAACTGTTACGCTATACGTCTACACACACTAATGCTGTTATTCATCTAATATATAAGTAGACTGTTCTAAATATGGCGACGCTTCGAAGGTAAAAATGACTGATAAAGAAGATCCGAAAACATTATTAGTTTGGGATGTTTTCAGACAGTTTTTCCCTCAAAGCACACAGCATAATTTTAATATGAGAGAGTGCTGAAAAGCTCGAGGCTCGATCTATTTCAATCAACCAAATATATTGTTTTTTTAAAGTCTACCTTGATAGGCCGAGAACTTTTCAGCAGCTTCTGCAAGTTTCTGCATGGGTAGCTATCGTAGTTAATGAATATTTGTTCTTGATGTTTATTGGTGTACCGACGAGCACATACCAGCATAAATACTAGCCTTACGTGACAAACAATTGCTAAACTTAGAAGAAATATTTTTCTATGTTTCCTTGTTGCATTAATATTCTTTCAGAAGCAACCAGACACCAGAACAATACTTGCTTATTGCATTATGATTTCTGCAGTTCTTTATTACAAACCACGAAAGCAATTCAATGTGTGTGTGTGTGTGTGTAATATATGTTGAACAATAAAGCGCTTATCAGTCGGAAATCTACCCAAGTTTGGGCCATGGTAAACTCGGCTCAATTGAAATTTGGCTGGTTGACAGCATCCATTCTCAGACCAGACGCCAACTTATGGAAATCAATAACAAGTTAGGCTTTAAGTTTCCAGCAACCTAACATAAGTTCCTGATTTCTTTATTATTCCCAGTTTAGAATTCTATGAAGAATTGTTAGAAACAATTCTGTTATCCAAACAAAAGCAAAGTCAAGAAGTCATATTCGTTCATGTGCAGACGAAATTAAAGGAATCTACAAAAATAATTCTACAAATTTGTAATGGTTTTTCTACGTAGGAAAAAAGATCATGATACTACCTAACTTGCAGCTATTTGAAATCTTAAGCATTGCAAATAATGCAGCATAAAAGAAATGATTTACAAAAATATATTATTATTTTAAAAAAGAAGGCAAATTTGCATAATTCATATTAATAATAAAGGAAAAAACTTACTAATATCGTTAAAATCGAATGTTTCTTTTTAAAGGTTTATATGAATAATTAAATAATATCATTTCCGTGTGATTATATTCCTGTCACTATAACCAGGTTTTAATTCATAATTTTAATTCCGAGGCATACAACCATATCACGTTGAAACAGCGGTTCCCATACGATCATCGAAGTTAAGCAACGTCGAGCCTTATTAGTACACAGATCGGTGACCGTTTGGGAATACTAGCTGCTGTAAGCCTGTATGTGCGGGTGGTGTAATAGATAATGACACAGAATTGTTAATAAAAGAACCGAGTTCCAATCCTCATTTAAATCGTTATATTCACTTACGCGTAAAAAGAGTTGGTAAAAGTATGAAGCAGCCTCTTCTCGCTCGGCTATGAGTTAATTGGTAAGGCTTGTATCACTAAGCAATTATTATCACAAAGAGAGATCCTTAAAATCTAAAAAAATATTTTCTAGTTTTAAATAACCTACAAAAGGTTCATAAACCGTAGAAAACAAATCAATAAATAAATTAGAATCAGAAAAATTACTGAATTTCTTTTGAAAAAAAACTGTAGTTGGAGAATTTGTTTAGACCAGTTCCTCACCCAGAAAAATGCTAATTTCTAGAGGGATGATACCATGAAACTGTTTTAAAAATTGTGAAAGGAAATTGAAAAAAATGGGTTGACTAAATCTATGTACTGAGGACAAAAGTGAAACAACGAATAGCCTTACCTAACAAACGTATAAATAGATGATGGAGTTTGAGGGACAGTGAAGGGCTTTTCAAAAATTACTATATCCCAGTGACGCTCGTGGAGCAACTAAAAGTAGGTGTTTTTGTTTTTTCTCAAAAGTGGTTGCACCTTTGTTTTACTACTGCCTTCTTGAATTGTTTTCTCTTCTTTGCTTTTTTCAAATTCATTGTCTTTTCTCAAACTGCAGTTTCTTTAATTTTTCGATGGTAATCTTTTTATCAGAAATTGTTATTCTGCTTTAGTAGTCGCCCCCACCCCCCGCCACCAATTTTTGTGCAAATGTTTTATTTGTACGTTTTCGTACTTGTGTAGTAAATGTATTTTCATTTGAAAATCTTTACGCATTAGTCAAGTCTTATTTTTTAGTTTGCGCTTATTATGACTTGCTATTCCTACTAGCTATTTTTTTGTGTTTGACACAAGAACTCATATTTGGTAAGGAATAAAAATTTATATCTTTTTGGGGGTGAATTAAGATTCATGCAAAAAAAAAATCAAAAAAAAATCAATCGGCTTATACAGAAATATATACGGTAAATTCTGATTACTGATCAATGAGTTATGCCGATTTGGGGACTACTTAAAATGACTGGTCCGCTCGTAAAAACGGCAAAGAATATTTTTTAACATTTTTTGTAGGTTAGCATTCATTAGATCTTCCGCTATCCAAGAACTTTGGAAAAAAAAAACAAAAAAAAAAAAACAGAATTTTTTCATCATTTTAGAAGTTCCTCTTCCTAATACAGTATGAAATCAATTCCTGATTTTTAAAGCTTTATCTGCACTTTGTTTTTATTTACAAATATCAAGTTTAAAACTGCTTACGCTTTGAATCAATGTGTACTATTATGAAGTGAGAAAAGGACAGCACCAGCAGTACGCAAGTATCAATGATATAAGCACTTTTTTAAACATGATATTTGTAAATAAAAAAAAGGACTGGATTCGAACTCAAACTTATTGGGACAACCATCATTTTGAGACAGTTTTTTTTATGTAGGCATGTGAATAAATGGCAGAATTCATTTTTATTTGTTATAATCCGCTTCTGAGGGTTAAATTATAACATTAGATCTTTTTGAGAAAATAAAAGATGAAAATAATAATATCTGTGCGTATTTGTACTCTTATGTTTTTGTTTGGCCACTTGGTTAAATAACACAAATGAAAAAAATATGTTAATTGTTAATTTTTCTGCATTTCACAAGAGATGCTTACTTCCACCCTTTTGATTGTCGTTTAACACAGATTCTTAAAATATATCTTTTCAAAGCTGAACGTTTATTTGGATCTGTCCCGTTCGTTCTTTTCTTTCATTAAATTAAGTTCTGCTCAGTTTTGAATCCGCCTTTCAAAATTTGTACTGACAATCAAAATCACTGATTAAACGTCATCTTAATATGACATTAACAAGATAACTATTTTAAAGACATCATAAATGAATTTTACATAAGGTCACACAAAGAAATTTCACGCGTTTCTGTTATCATTAATGTTTGGGAACCAAACAATGTAAGTAATATAAAATAATAGTTAAAGTTCGTGATTTTTCTATCTCAGTTCGAGAAGCTTCCAGAGTAATCAAAGTTGATTCTACGATTGGTACCGGTTCGGATAAAATTGCAGTGTTCCTTTTTAAGCAAGAATTATCTCTAATCTTGGTAAAGTTTATTAACCTGAAAATCTTTCAAAGATGACAGTTTCAACTGAACATTTTATTTTATTCAGAAAAGAAATTAAAAATTTCTAAATTAATAAAAAATTCGTTACTTTGTATATTTAATTTTACGAAACAGGGTCGCTTCACTGTGAATAGATTTTTTTTTCCATATTGTTTTAAGGATTTATCTATATAAGAGGATTTATCTATATAAGAAAAAATATTTTTTGCCCATCTGAAATATGTTTTTGTGGAAATGCCTTAAAATTCAATGGGGGATGCCAAACTTAAAAGATAAAAAAATATAATTTTATCAATTACTAAATACTTCATTAATTTTATTAAAACTGGATAATTATTTGATTTTTGAAAGATTTTACCCGGTTTTTGTTTCGTATGATTGTCTATGTCTGTTGGTTTTGAGAATAGAATATGCATATTTAATTTTAATTTTTAACAATTTTATTTAAATTTTTACTGTTTCCCCTGTGATAGTTACAACGCAGAAATATTTGCGCAGAGATTGTTGGCAACCAGACAGGTGCTATTTTCAAAGAGTGTTTGGTAGCTAAAATTTCTTTAGGAAAATACATGATCGCAGTGATTTTCGTTTTTACTAAACTTAAAATATTTCCAATGAACAAAACTTCAATTATGTTTTCGGAATAACGAGATCGGTAGTCATATTAATATTTGGCAGATCAGCGGTGTGTCATTTATTCAATACTTCTCAGTAGGCAATACTTTTTAAAGAGAATTCATCAAATATATAAGTACATATATAACTATATTAAAGTCAAATTCAGGCATGAAAAAGGATGAAAGCTTTCTTACAGCGATCAATGTACTTGAATTCTGTGCTCCAACTATTCGACGATAAAAAGGAAATCTCGTATCACTTGGTCAGCCAAGCTTGTCTGTAATAATGAAAGATTGCTTTTTAGAAAAATCTGGCACGGCGCCATTAAATTTGTGGAAATACAAAATAATGAGTTTTTATTTAAAATCATTACTTTTAGCGTTTGTAATGTGCATAATTGTATAATAAGATAATAAGATAATAAAAATATTTTGACTGATAGTGTTTATGTAATTGTCTACATATTATTATATGATAGTACTTCTGTTTAATAATGATACATTTTCATATACATTTCATGCATTAAATGTGACGGTTATTATGAGATATGTGTAGTAATTATTATTCTATAATTATTCCAATGTGCTGTTATAAGTTTTCTCTAATTATAAAAACATACATATTTAACAAAATTTTGCCGCAATTTTAACTGAATTTCAGACAATATTTAGATATTTTTACATAGATTTAGTCAACCCATTTTGTTCAATTTCCTTTCACAATTTTTAAAACAGTTTCATGGTATCACCCCTCCAGAAATTAGCATTCTTCTGGGTGAGGAACTGGTCTAAACAACTTTCTAGAGAATTGAAGTTTAATTGACTAAATCTATGTAAAAATATCTAAATATTGTCTTTGAAATTCAGTTAAAATTGCGTCAAAATTTTGTTAAATATGTATGTTTTTATAATTAGAGAAAAATTATAACAGTACATTGGAATAATTACAGAATAATAATTACTACACATATCTCATAATAACCGTCACATTTAATGCATCAATTTATTTTTTCGACGATAAAAAGGAAATCTCGTATCACTTGGTCAGCCGGAAAATAATCAATGAAATTCATAGAAACAATCTAATGTCACACTCCCCTCAGGAAACTCCACTGCTATTGAAAAGACACAGAAATACCACGTTGAAATTCGTTCGTGAACATAGGGATAAGAAAAAATCGTATGGAAAAGAGTATTATGGATAGACGAAACCAAAAATGAGTTTGTTTGGACGTACTTCTAGAAATTATGTAGGAAAGATGGCGATGCCTTCAAACAAAAGAACACACTTCCAACTGTGAAATTTGGTGGTGGCAGCATCATAGTTTGGGGATGTTTGTCTGCAAAAGTGCTGGCATAATATCAGTAATAGATGGTAGAATTGATGCCGCAACATATTTTGGAAGCAAATTTAATGATTTCAGTTGAAAATCTTGAACTTCCTTTTGATTGGATCTCCCAACAAGATAATGATCCTAAGCACGCTGCAAAATCAACGAAGAAATGCCTTACTAAAGATAATGTACATATCCTGAAATGGACAAGTCAGTCCCCAGATTTAAACCTATTGGAGAATCTGTGGCATTATTTGAAAATTCAAATCCAATCAAGTGCTTCAACAAACATCCCGGATCTGAAGACTATATGTGAAGAAAAATGGAATAAATTACAAACTAAACTTTGAAAATCATTAATTGCGAACTAAAAGAAGAGGTTGGTTGCTGTAGAAGTGAATAATGACATTTCTACAAAGTATTACATGAAGATTATGTATTTTTGTATTGTACGAATATTTTTTCACCCATTAAAATGGATAAATGGGATTTATTTCTTTTAAATCAACTTTTTTCTGTTTTCTATGCATAATTACTTATTATTGATCTGTGTACAGTTAATTATGTGAAAAGTATGTATATTCATTAGTTGGAAATACAATAAATTAAACATTTATATGTGAACGAATAATTGTTTTCCCAATTGTTTATATATATATATATATATATATATATATAATGTGTGTGTGTGTATGTAAAGTAAAATTACATTAACATCTAAATATTATATGACGTACAATGATATACTTATTCTGATTGCAATAATTTAGAACATTAAAATGTAAGTAATTAGCCAATATAATTATGGAATAATATAAAAATTAAAGAATGCATTAATCAATGGATTAGAACGTGCCG